GCGTCCGCGGTTGATTCATAATAACACGCTTAACGAGATCTTGGTATTTGATCTGAGTCTGGCTACGAGCCTATACGCACTAACCATCTACGTGGGAGTAGTTATGGGTATCCCGACGTCGTGGTATCAGCCGAAGCACTTCAGACGTCAGCGACGGAGCGGCGCGCGCCGGATTGGAACGTAAGCCTGCTCTTGTATTAAGGGGGCTAGTTCTGCTTCCGGCCGCCCTCGCAACGTGCAGGTGTGCTATGGGCGATGGGCCCAGACCCCTGTGCGCTTAGGTTTAGACTGGCGTGCTGGCCTCTCTGTTTTGCCTAGGTGGGGCTGCGACGTGTTGATCTTCCGAGGCCGGGCATGACCCAGGAAAGTGTGTCCGGCCAAATGGGATCAAGCGTGTTGGGTTATGTGGTGCACCCCTGCAGGGAAGTTTAATCTATTCGAATAGCCGTGATCTTCGGTAACAGGACGACTTGGAGTTGTACCTTGACCTTATGACAACTAGAACCGGATACTTAATAAAACACACCCTTCCAAGTGCCAGATACAACCGGTGGTCGCTCTACCTCAGGGATATGAGGAGGGGATCGCCGGGTAGGATTATGCTATGAGATGTTACTTGGAGATGCTACTTGGAGGACTTCAATCTACTCTCTTATACCTGTTGCAAGGCGAAGGTGACCAGAAGCGTAGTCTTCGATAAGACTAGCTATCCCCCTCTTATTCTGGCATTCTGCAGTTCAGTCCACTGATATGGCCTCCTTACACATATACCCATGCATATGTAGTGTAGTTCCTTGCTTGCGAGTACTTTGGATGAGTACTCACGGTTGCTTTCTCCCCCCCTTTTTTTCCCCTTTCCTTCTTTCTGGTTGTCGCAACCAGATGCTGGAGTCCAGGAGCCAGACGCCACCGTCGACGACGACCCCTACTACACCGGAGGTGCCTACTACTACGTGCTGCCCGCTGACGACGACCTGGAGTAGTTTAGGAGGATCCCAGGCAGGAGGCCTGCGCCTCTTTCGATCTGTATCCAGTTTGTGCTAGCCTTCTTAAGGCAAACTTGTTTAACTTATGTCTGTACTCAGATATTGTTGCTTCCGCTGACTCGTCTATGATCGAGCACTTGTATTCGAGTCCTCTAGGCCCCTGGCTTGTATTATGATGCTTGTATGACTTATTTATGTTTTAGAGTTGTGTTGTGATATCTTCCCGTGAGTCCCTGATCTTGATCATACACATTTGCGTGCATGATTAGTGTACGATTGAATCGGGGGCGTCACATGTATAAAGACATTGAAGATAATGGTGGTACGTGAAGACATTCACACTGAAGACTATGACAGAAGAAGACATTGAGTGAAGACTATGGAGCGCGAAGACTTAGTAGTTTCGTTGTTTCTTTTCTTCTTTGTTGAGTCATAGGAACCACCGCACTGTTAACTGGGGTCCAAGTGAACAAAGTCAGAGTGACTGAAGTGATGCTCAACCAAATCCTATGTCTTCGGGAGAAAATTTTATCCAGAGTCGGATAAGTCAGCTTTACTTGTAGCCCAAGTCAAGCTGTCGCGTGTGTTTGAAATCTGACCGTTGTGACATGTGTCAGTTCCTTAGTGACCCAGGGTCATTTCGGACAAATCAGGTCGGGTTGCCCAGTGGCTATAAATAGCCCACCCCCTACACCATAAATTGGTGGCTGTTCAGAGTTAGATACGGCTTTTGTCGTTTGAGAGCAACCCACCTCTGAAGCCTTTGAGAGAGAGAAACCTTGCGAGGACAAAGCCCAAACCACCCAAAGCCCAGAGAGTGTTTGACATCACTGAAGTCTTTCTGTCCGCGTGATCTGAAGACTTGTTACACTTGAGGACTGTGATTCATCCAGCCGGTTAGGCGTCGCGTTCTGAGCATCCAAGAGCAATTGTGGATCACCGGTGAACGAAGTCTGTGAAGGTTTGGAAGTCTACCTTGAAGACTTACTAGAGTGATTAGGCGGGGACTGTGTGTCCTTAGCTCAAGGGGAATAAGGTGAAGACACGGTCTTCTGAGTTCAATCTCAGCCTCCCTAACCAGACTTACAGTTAACACAGCAACTGGAACTGGTCGAACAAATCCTTGTCTTCACAACACACTGGTTCTATCTCTTACTCTCCTTACTCACAGTTTGTCTTTGTGAAGTCATTGCCTGATTGCTCTGCCTGTTTGACTTCACTATGTGACTACTTGTTCTGATTGGCTTCATACTATCTTCTATCCTGATCCTACTACCTAGCTGCTATCAGTCATCACGCTTTAGCTTCAAACTATGGCTTGTCTAGTGTAGTTCATCTTCTGCTGCATGTTTATAGGTCCGGTTTTCGTGTTTGTCTTTGAAACTTCCATGTTTTGAAAACTTTCATAAAAATCGCCTATTCACCCCCCCCCCCTCTAGTCGATAACTAGCACTTTCAATTATTATACTTGGTACATGGTTCACTGGTCTATATTAGGGAGTGGCTCTGCTAATATTGTTCTTGTCGAACTCATGACCAGTTTTTGAGTGATTAAAATGTCCAGCACTTCTGAGGGTTCAACACATCATTTTATGAGTGTCCTCTTGTGTTATGCCTGGGATGTTACAGTTTGACATGTACTAAAAAATGCGGCGCTGAGAGTCCAGTTTGACATGCACTCAAGTATTTGGTTCATTTTAACATATACGCTATTTCTTGTGCCTGATATGGTTCAGCTTACACGTACTCAAATATTAGTGTGTGATGGTCATGTTCAAATTTCTTGCATAATTAGTTTACATATGAAGGGAGGGGGCAGGAATGAGCGCTGTGAAGATATGGCATAGGTACTACAGTATTTACTAAGAACAAAAATGTTTCGACATGAAAAAAGTTTAGGTAGTTACTGCAAAAGTCTCTTTTACATCTAACTAGTAGAAGGGGGGTTTTCATAAAATACACATTAAGTGGCCTAGGATCCCCCACTTGAATCTGTACCATCCACAATGGATCCGACGGCCCATATTCGTTTTTCTATTTTGGCATCACAAGCCATGCTTCTATTCTAGTCGCTCCCACAAAAATCAGTCCAATGCCACCTTTCCGGTGACCTATAAAAGGATCAATCCAAAAAAAAAATCTCCAATGTTTCATTGATCGAGCCATTCAATTCCCGTTCTCCTATACATGCAATTCACCTGCATACGTAACTAATAGTTCGAGCTTTGGATTGAATCATCTTGGAAGCGACATGTTGGTCGTACGCAGGTGCCCGACTTGTCATATGAGTGTTTCTCTATTGAATATTTTTACACTCACTGCATCATTATTGATACAACTTTGCCTGGCCATGATTGAGCTACTATGTCCTTTGCATACTTTTTATTTTATTTTTTGTGATGCCTCGGCTAATCATTGAGTACATCAAGCCAACAAGTTGCAATTGGTCTTAGCCAACAAGATAGGCCCATCCGTTCGAAGATTACTCAATGGAAATACACTCCCAGGTGCCACATCAGCACGTGTCTCCGTCCAATGTACCTACATAAATCCAGAAATACTACACAACTACTACTTCCTCAATACGTTTTAATTATGCATGTACAGTACTTTCTTTTTTGTAAGCAAAGTTGAATCTTTTCTGTAAGAAAAGTTCAATCTTTTCATCTTCAATCATGGCAACACAAAAAATACAAGAGGTAATAAAACTTACAACCAAGTCCGTGGACCACCAGCGACGATTACAAGTACTGGAGCAAGCCGAAGGCGCACCACCGTCATCGCCCCTCCCTTGTCGGAGCGGGGCAAACCTTGTTGTAGTAGTCAGACATGTAGCTGTCGTGCTAAGGCCCATTCGACCATCGCGCCAGAGTAGTAACCATCTCCGGTGAAGAAAGATGTAGATCAAAAGGATCAAACCTATAAACACCCAAATGAGGGGAAACCCTTTTTCATTATAATATAAGGTGGTCGTATCTTTGTGCCATGGTCGTTGCATTATAATATAAGGTGTGGGGAAACCCTTTTTCATCTTATATACCATCTTATTTATTAACATGCCTAACACACATTAGTACAACATTTATTATGTTACGGTATTATAGTATGATAGTCAAGCCTCTCGTCCTTCTTTAATTTTATGTCACCTCATTAAAATTATCTAGTCGACATGCATGATACTAGTTATGACACTTCTACTTTAGGTAGGCTTAGAAATACAGTTGTTTAGCCTGTGTTACGTGATTTTGCTCCCAAAAAAAAAAAACGTGTGTGACGTGGCGAAGGTATTTTGTGAAAGCAACCAAAGTGCCGACGGGAGTGAGGTCAGGTCATGGTGCGGCATAGTATTTTTTGAAAAGGTCAGGTCATGGTGCGGCATAGTAACCCTCCCCGAGTTCCCATTGTTTTTCTTTTCTCTCTCTCTTTATATGTCGCCTGCATTTGGCGAGAGCTCAGGGGAACAGTGCATCATATGCGTTGACCTGATAACATGTCTGGATACGTTGATTCTCATCACGATGAGGATCATGTGGCCGTGTATATATACAAGTGTACCTCATCTTATATACGTGGGAGTCTGGATTTATTGTACCACAATATTTTTATACCCTCTATCTAGCCCATTCAGTTTGCGTCAGGAGTGGTGCTATTCTTATATAGAAGATTCACCTTTTTGTTTCTTTCAAACCAGAGAACATTTGACCTTGCAACTTTGCAGGTCGACTAGACACAACTGCCACTCGTTGTATAAAATGTTTCCAATTTTTTAATGAAACATAAATTTGCCAAAAAATTCTATAAATTTATGTGAAAAGGTGAAAAAAAAATGAGGAGAGGCAACAGTAGTAGTAGCAACATGGATCTGCTCATCGGTAGACTTTTGCAAGTTGTTGGATATGTTTAACCGGACGGTGGAGGTATTCTTGTGGAAGCAACCAAAGGGCCGACGTACGGGTATATAAGAAGGGTGGGTGTGCACCTCATCATACCAGACAGAACAGGTAGTAGAGCACCATGGCCACCCCCAGCTCTCATTTCCAATCCCAGCCGCAGCACTTGCTGCTGGTGCTGCCAGTGCCAGTAATCCTAGTTCTCATCTTTGCCATGGCTGCTGAAGCTCAAGGGGGTTGCCGACACAAGTGCGGTGACATCGACATCCCCTTCCCATTTGGCATCGGCGTCGGCCCCGGCTGCTTCCATGATGGCTTCGAGGTCTTGTGCAACGAATCTTCCGTTCCTCCCCGTGCCTTCCTTGCTGGAGGCAAGTACGTCAGGCAGCAGCACAGCTCGCCATCCGGTGACATTGAGTCGTCCTGGCTGGTGGAGCTGGCGAGCTTATCAGTCGCTACAGGCGAGGCACGAGTGTTTGCCCCGGTCTCCTACCACTGCAACACACAAGACAACGGGGTCGTCTCCATGGCACCGTATATGGAACTCCTGGGCACGCGATTCGCTGCCTCGACGACGCGAAATGTTCTCATGGGCCTTGGCTGGAGCGCCGACACTCGACTGTCTTTCATGTCTACTCCTGAGATGTTGTTTGCTTGCCTTGCTTTTGATATCGAATTAGACAGGGGGGACGGGTCTTGCTCGGGGTCCTGCTGCCAAGCTACCCTTGCGCGCTACGGCAAGAGCCTCAGATGGACTGTCAAGTTTCTTAGTGACAATACAATTAACATGCCGCGCCTCCCGTGCTCCTATGGCATGGTGGTGGAGAAGTCATGGTACACATACTCTATGGCGGATCTAGAGGGCTACAAGGTGCTACTCAATAGGTTTCCCCAGGGCGTCCGCATGGTGCTCAATTTCACTGCTGGGGACGGTTTGTGTCCGGCAAAAGGACAGCCGCCGCCTCAGGACTACGCCTGCCTCAGCAGCAACAGCTTTTGTGCCAATGCAACATACGGATATACTCCTGGCTACATCTGCAAGTGCCTGGACGGTTACGCGGGCAACCCTTATATCCCTAACGGATGCCCAGGTACATACTCCAACATCTCCTCCAGTATACATCCAAATAATTGTCCATGCAAATGTTGATTTCCTAAAATGTCCAACATACATACATGACAATTCGTTAACTCCAAAAAATGTTGATTCTTCAGACATTGATGAGTGCAGCCTCCTCCAAAATCCATGCTCAAATGGCGGGGTCTGCACAAACAAGTTGGGAGGCTATGACTGTCCATGCAAATTCGGAATGAAGGACGATGGCAGAGGGGGAACCTGCACAGATATATTCCCTCTAGCAGCAAAGGCGGCTGTGGGTAAGCTACTACTACACTGCACTGAGATGTGTCCTGCTGTTCCCAATCTAAATCACTATCATAGAAACACATGTATGACAAGCGGCTGTATGTAAAAATTCTTCAGTAGCTCCATGAAGCCGGTGACAGTCCTAGTTGCCATCCATCCTCTCCTGAGATCTGCCACACGTATGCCTTACAACACTAAAAAATGCTGCCAAAAAAGTACCCCTAAATTTTATAAGTAACCTCACAGAGTACTAGTAAATCTCTATAAAATTCACACACTTGTTTCAAAGGACTCCAAACACAGTCGGTTATACTGCTTAATTTATGTGAATGTCCTTACTGCAATTTACAAGCTACTGCCTCTGTTCCAAAATAATGAAGTTCTGGATTTGTCCGAAGTCAGACTTGTTTTTTACCACGTCTATAGAAAAATATATTAACAACTTAAACACTAAATTAGTTTCTTGAGATTCTTTATGACACATTTTTGTACTATTTATATTTGGTTTTGTAGATCTTCACACATTTTTAATAGAATTGGTCAAATTAGGACAAACCTACAAATTCAATTATTTTAGAACGGAGGGAGTACATACTTTCCTTGTCCTCTGCACACATTCCTCATAGTTTCAGCCTCTTGGCTGTCTTGTTTTAGATTATTTTCTTCTTCTTATAGTTCTAGTGGAAATTTGTTTTAGATTCTGAGTACATGAAAAAAAACTATTTACTTCTTAATTACATACATTTCTGCTTGATTTGCAATTGCGTATTTAGTGAAATAAACTAAGTTTATTTTTTGTCCATGTAGGTGCAATAGGTGGTGTACTTCTCGTGGTGATTATATCGTTTCTTGTTATTCTTCGCAAAGAGAAAAAGAAAGTGAATGAATTATACAAAAGGAACGGCGGCCCAACATTGGAGAAGGCAAATGTGATTAAGCTTTTCAAAAAGGATGAGCTCAAGCCAATTTTGAAGAATAGCAATTTAATTGGAAAAGGTTGCTTTGGTGAAGTTTACAAGGGCCTTCTCGAGAATAAACTAGTTGCCGTAAAGAAGCCGATTAATGGTTCTGTGCTAGAGAGTGACCAATTTGCAAATGAAGTCATCATCCAATCTCAAGTCATCCACAAGAATATTGTTAGGCTCATTGGTTGTTGCCTTGAAGTTGATGCCCCCATGTTGGTCTACGAGTTTATCTCCCAAGGTAGTCTCCATGACATTCTTCACAATAACAATAACAAGGTGGCTCTCAACTTGGATGCACGTTTAAGTATTGCTGCACATTCAGCGGATGGTCTAGCTTATATGCACTCAAAAACAAATATTAGAATTCTACATGGTGATGTCAAACCAGCAAATATACTCTTGGATGATAACTTCATACCCAAGATTTCAGACTTCGGCATATCTAGGCTGATTGCAAGAGAGAAGGAACACACTGCATCAATCATTGGTGACATGAATTATATGGATCCGGTGTATCTACAAGAAGGCCTACTCACCGAAAAAAGCGATGTTTACAGTTTTGGGGTTGTGATTCTAGAGCTTATTAGCAGGAGGAGGGCAATGCATTCTGACAATAATAAGTTGGTAAAGAATTTTCTTGAAGCTCATAAGAAACAAAACAAAGCTACTGAGTTTTTCGACAAGGAAATTGCGATAACAGAAGATTTGGAGCTTCTTGACAGTCTAGCAGGTATGGCCGTGGAATGCCTTAGCCTTGACGTGGATCAAAGACCAACGATGATGGAGGTAGCTGAGCGGCTACTCATATTGGGCCGATCTCGTAAGGTGTAAGATATTTGTCATAGGTTATGTTTTGACAAAATCCTAAAAACATGAGCAGCGAGATCTCCTAGAATAAATGTAATCGTGTTTTGAAGGTGGCCGACTGTTTGTATGCTTCCTTTGTAACCGTGTTTCAAACCACTACTTTTTACCAAATTTGGTAACCGTGTTATAAATAATACATCGTTGCTTGCAGAGTATGTACAGTTTCAATGAACTTTATAGGTTGTACCAAAAAAGCATAACCTACTTTCTGCCCTCACTTTGGCTTAAGTATTGGCTGCTGTTTACTAAGAAGTGATTAATTCCCGCCCATGATGTTATTCCTTTAAACTTTGTATTTTTCTAGTTTCAAATTTTGGAGAGGTCCTTACCTTCCAATTGTGGAGGGCACATAGCTACTAAAATATGTTTCTCCAGACATAAAATCTTTTGAGATCATATATGGTGGACCTTGATGAAGGGACAACTCTAGTGAAATGATTACAAGATAATACCTTTCATCTCGGGGAACTCATTTTTTATACCATCTGAAATGCTTCCGTATAGCATATTTACCAAAAATGCATCAAATGGATGATTACAGAGAAAAGCCAATAGACCTATCCCATAATACTAATCCTCCCCACTAAATTTCGGGTCTGGGTCTTGTTTCCCCCACTAATAACTAACTAAAAAACTGCCATCTAATCCCAGCCCGTGAAAATCCCTTCACCAGTCTGTTGATGTAGCATGGTTCGCATATTTATACATACACTAAATAATTCCAATGTCAACCAATTGTAGAGAGAAGGTGGAAGCTATTGGATATATTAGACATTTTCCAATTAATTTAATATGAACAAAAAACATGACGACAATAGTAGCAAGTTTAATTTTGTGCCCTAACATAATCACGCAAGAGCATACTAGACAAAGTATATCTATGAACACGGAAGATACTACAAATGGATAAACCAGTAAGGGGAGAGGGGTGAATAGATCATATCTTCAGGCCACGCCGGCGGCAACTACGGCATTCTTCTCCATTTCTTGGTTATGAATGTCCTCATAGTCCCCATCGCTCTATCTTCTCGGCCGACCCCAAAATAAAGGACCCCGATATCTCCCGACCATTTGGTCTGGAAGAGCCCCATACCGAACAACTCCTTCGTTACAGAGGAGGCAATCAAACGAATGATGTTGTTTGGGGCGAGAAGCTTCCGGAGTGAACACCATCACCCCAGGCCTTTTTTGCGTCAAATAAAATAAAAATATATCCCAGTTTCCCCCAAAACTACTGTGACTAAGAAAGCCCACTTTTGGCTTTGAATCATAATCGCCAGACTTTGCCATACTCTGGAAAATTGAAATGGTCTAAAAGTAAATTTATCGTGATAGATAAAAAATGGAAAACAAGATATTAATAAAAAATCACTAGGGTTTAAGTCAAAAAATTGCAATAATCTTTAAAAGCAAAAAATTTCCATGGCCAAAAAAGATCTTTTTTATGTAATGGCAAAACAGAAAAAGTTCATGACAATTTTGCATCTGTAAATTTGGCATGTATGTTAAATAGAAATTGCTATGGCAATAAAAAGGTTAATTTTCCATGGCCATAAAAAGGTTAATTTTGCCATGGTAAAAATTGTCTGTTATGTTAAAAGTAAACTTGCCATGTACTCCCTAAGTTTCTAAATATAAGTCTTTTTAGAGATTCCAAATATGGACTACATAGTACATACGAAATAAAATGAGTGAATACACACTCTAAAATATGTCTATATGCACTTCTCTATGTAGTTTATATTGAAATCTCTAAAAAGACTTATATTTAGGAACAAAGGCAGTATGTAGAAGTAAAGTTGCCATGGCAAAAGAAAGTAAAAACTTGACATAGCTAAAAAGTGTAATTTTACCATGCATGTAATAGATTAGTAATACTTGCATGTGTATTGATCATGGAGAATGGCAATGAACCACTCAAAAAAGAAGTGACATTTCAGTTTTTTGGAAAAGTTGTCGTATTTCTTGATAGATATTATTATGTTTGGTAGTATGCTATGTGTGTTAGTTGAGACCCTTTTACTGGATTTTTTATTTTTTAATAAGTAAGAATAAAGGAGTGGTGCGCATGGTGTGAAGTCTGAATCCATCGTTAAGCGCATTTCCCAAAGACCCATCAGCCAGCCAGGAAGACGTAATCTAGTAGCCCCAGCCTGAGTACGTAATCTAGTCCTGTAAGTGGAAACCTCCACGTCCATATCTTACCGAAAAAGGTTTCCCCCGCTTTGTATACAAAGCAACCAACCAAACCATACAGAAATGGGTGCTGGGGCGGAAGCAGCACAGTCACGCCCAAAAAAAGATAGAGAAAGAGCAAAAGAAACAAATACCGACAACGGCGGATCAACAAAAACGAGGAAGCCTCGCGATCGATACGCCCACCGGGCTCTTCCACTAGGCTCCAAGACTCCGAAGCGCCGGCACCAATCAAAACCTCCAAGAAGGATCGCGACGATGACGACGCTGCTGCCAAGGGTTCCCCCCGGTACATGACGAGGCGAGAGGAAGGGTAGCCCCCGACGCCCTCCCGGAAGGTCAGGTGGCACCCTCAGGCGCCACCACGCCGGAGTCGGCCACGCCGACAGGGGGATCCAACCCGCACCTCGGGCGCTCCGGATCCAGCCACCAAACCAACCACCACCCTGCGCCAACGCGGTCATGAGGCCCCCACGCCGTCTCACCACGACACCTCGAAGTGAGGATAACGCAGCGAAGAATCAGAGCCGGGACTAGGGCATCAACACCGTCGGCACACGGAAGGGCCCCACCTCCACGGTCAGCGACGGTAGCCGTCCGGACGCAATAGCAGGAGCACACCAGGCCCGTAGGCCCACAGGCCCGGCCGAGCCCTCGTGGGCCCGTAAAGCTCCCGCCTTCGCGCTGCTGCCGACGCCCCATATCCGAGCCGCTCCTCCTCACCGCGCCGCAGACAACGAGGCCACGCCGGAGGGCCGGCCTGCTAGGGCCCAGATGGGGCCGTCGTGCCCAGATTTGGGTTGGGGGCACGTCGTCGGCCACCCAGCACCACCACGCCGCCCCGCCGCCAAGGAGCGGCGCCGTCACCACGCCTGCCGCCGGCCGCCGCCGCCGGACCGCAGCCAAGCCGGGCTGCACCGCCACCTCCTCCCTGCTCCGGGAAGGGAGCATGCGCGCGCGGGGACGAGAAGGCCCGCCGCCGCTGGCACCACCCGGGCCAACGCCATGGGCGCCCGCCGGCGGCGGCGGCAGGGGTGGAGCCCATTGGGCCGACCCTGATGCACAGGAATACGGGTCCAACTAGTTTTTTAGCGGTACTTATCATCTGAAAACGGCCTGGGCATCAGGTTGGGCCTGGGGCAGTGCATCAGGGTCCAAGTTGCCAGCCCGCACACCAAGTGCACTGCCCCTGATGCACTTGGGCCTGGGGCGTGTGCGCTTCCCCGCAGAGGTCTGAGCCCACGCCCGTGCGCGTGGTTGTTTAGGTCGTGCGATCGTGTCCCGTTCCCTGATTTCTTTCTTTCTATCAATCGCTCCGCCGTCTCGCCTGCTGCTCTATCTAGCGTTTCCTTCCGTGTATTGGTACATGGGTTGTTCCTCTATTCGATCCCCATCTCCGGAAGTCTTGATCTCCCACACCCATGCTCCGTCGCCCCCAGGCTGATAGACATAAGGAGGCGAGTACGCCGGCAAGCCGCAGCGACTACGCCCACGGGCTGCAATTCCATCCCCTCTCTACAGCTCTTCATCAGTTGGTCAATCGCCCCATTGGATACTACAAGTGATCCCAATCCTGTCATGGTAGCCCCCTTGTCTCTCCATGATTTTTCTATTCTCAACATTTTTATGAGTTTATAGCTAGTAGATTTTGGCCAACACGTCGACTGTTGGCTAGGTTTTTTAAACTCCTAATTTGAGCGTACATTATTCACTTGGACAAATTTTTATATCGCGCGTTATTTTGCATTTGTCAAAATGTAGGTAGACTAGTTATCTCAAAAAAAAATTGTTTTACAGATATTTTTTTCCTCAACATAAAATCACCATCAGCAGGATGCTCCAGGAGACATGAATTTCAAAATGCAAGACCTATTTTCAAGTATATATAAGTAAGCATTTTTTACTACTACTTTTTTACTTCTACATCGTCTTTTATTGTGTCCGCTCATGTACGCTAAAAGTTATGAAACACATTTTTTATTTAGTGCAAAGTTGCTTGAAAATTTTGCAACATAGTAAAGTAGTGCATCAGGGTATATTTAGCTCCAGCTCCGCCCCTGGGCGGCGGGGGAAGACGGGGAAGGAGGGGACCCGCGGGTGAGGAGCTCGAGCTCCGCCCCAGCCACCTCCCGGGGAGGCGGCGCGAGGCGGATCTGGACGGAGGAAGGGGGAGGGCGGAAGGGGGGCGGAGGCGGGGCGCGAGGCCGGCGGCCGGCGGTGGCGGGAGGGCCGGCGGCGGCGAAAGGGGAGGAAGGGAAACCCTAGCGCCTAGTAGCGGGAGCGCGAGGCAGCCTCTTCTCAAGGTCCACGGCGATCAGTGTGTCGCACGCAGAACACTCCCACGTCCATATCTTCTTCCTCCGTCTCCGTCAGCGGCTGGCTGGCCGGGCTCCTATAGCTATGGCGTCTTCCTGTGCCTTCTCCCTACGTCCCAGCCCCTCTTCTGCGCCGTTTCTCACCATGGCCAGCCGGCATCGTCTAGGCCAGGTAAGGTTGTGCGGCTCTGGCTATCTAGATTTTTGTGTGGCCCGGAGAAATCAAACTTTGAGGAGAATCGGTACAGGATGTAGTTGGGTAATCTGGGTCTTAATATTGAGGATGAATTGCTGAGTATGCGAAATTTCATCGGGGCCAGTTTCTGCTGTATTCTATTGCCAATTGCCAGATTCCCTGATTGAATGAATGCATTTGGTACAACTCATCTTTCTTTTTCCGATAAAGGAGGGATTTTATTAACTCAAAATGAAGCATCAAGAAGATACAAACAC